CTCCCTGCATGCTCCGTCCAACCAATACAGTACGTGCTTGGGAGTCTAGGTTGTACAAGGTTGAGCATGCTGATACTGCTACAGAAGATAACTGGACCCAGTTCGCGGAATATTGTTCTACAAACTTGTATGTCTGCATCCCTGTCGGAGCTGATCGTGGGGAGGCCAGTGAGGAGTATCAGAGCTGGTACGCTAAGGTTTCTCATCCTTTTATTTTGAGTACTAGTCTGTCGGACGAGCATGGGGTCCCTATGCGCGCCAATGTTGAATATGTAAGTTGTTTAATAAATCTCAGTTAAGGTGCTTTCATTACAATTTTTTTTTTTTTCATTTTATGTGATCATATATTTTAATTCTTCTAATTTTTGTGTAGTGGGTGAATCGTTGTCTAGCCCTTTCTTCAGACTTGGTGGAGCGAGTCGAGAGTCTTGATGCTGATTTGCGGCAGATTTTGCATATTCCTTAAGGAGGATTGGGACGGGGCGGAGCGTTGATACAATGAATGTTTTTTTTTTATTTTTTATTTTTTGGATTTTACTGTGTTGTCGGTGATTGACTGAATTTGTTTCTTTTTTATTGTATTGTTGTTAGTTAATTTTATTTTTATCTATTTCCTCCAAATGCGATGCTACATTCCAACCAAAAAAATTCCATAATAAATACGTACTCGAATTTATACCGACATACTAGTGTTCGGAATAGATTGGGTGCTTGAGGATGCGACATGAACACACGTGTCAACGCCTGTGTGTCTGCATCAGTATCTGTGTAAACTATATACTTGTTGTTTCTAGCCAAGTGCATAAGCTGGCAACCACATCTCTACCCTGCAACCTATCTCTACGCATTTAACCTTATAGTTATACACTTGTCGGACAGTAGCGTTGTCTACAGGGTTTTTCTCCTGAATCGCAGCCAAAATTGCAGCCGGTTTTGCCTGAGCAGCAGACATATCACGGACAATCTCTTTAGATGAATCGCTAAGTGCGCTCATCTATCGATGACCCTCGGGATACACAACCATCGCATGATTATGCGTTCCCTTCTTATCATTATCATAAGGAACCCAGATACACCATTTTTAGATTGTGCCTCCAATTTGACATTTATCATAAAAGGGCAGTCGGTCGCTTTAGTTTTCGAACGTCTCAAAACAGCATTAACGAATTTCTCTATATTGCCTCTGTAACGTTCCCCTCGATGACACCTCAAAACCCTCTGTTTTCCTTGTTTTTCGTGTTTCGAGATTACTAATTCGAAACATTCATAAGTGCCAAATTTTTTGCCCGCTCAACAGCTTCATCACAACTATCAAATAGGTCATCTGTAACGAAAAAAAGTCTGTAATCAACACCGTTTCCTCCAAAATCTTGGACCGGCGCCTGCAAAATATTACGATGTATGTTAAGAATTTTACAAGATAATCAATTAGAACTTCTAACATAATAATTGTAAATTGTAATTTAAATTTATTATATTGTCAATTCTAACTTATAATATAATAGTAATAAATTCAAATTTACAACACAATCTATTCTAATATATAACACAATAATTTCTAATTACTAACATAATATCAATAAATTCTATTTTTTAAGTTAATCAATCTATAACACAATAATTTCCAACTTCTAACATAATATCAATAAATTATACTTAATAATCTATTGTAATTTTTTTTTTTCACAAAACGATAGAGATACTATTAGAACTCAAGCGAACCATGTTTGAATATTACAAGCCAACCGAAAAGAAAAAAATGAGAGGACGGCCTAGAACCTCAACAACAAACAAGACAAGAACACAAACCCTCCACTGCCAAAGCCTAGAGGTGGCAACAGCCAAAGCAAAAACACAACCAACTAAAATGACAGAAACAACACCAACTGCTCATAAAAACTAGAAGAACAAAAAGAAGCTAAAAAAAAAAACAGCCTTACAAATAAAAGAAAAGTTAGCCAGAAGCTTTGCCAAGCAATTTTGCAGAAGAGTAGTCCATCCAATTATGATGAGCAACTTTGAGTATCAAATGGACTAGGAGTTGTATTCCATCAAATAGACTAAGGTTGCAAGTCTTCCAAAGCCACCAGAGAATGTAAGTTGTAAGCTGTATTCTAGCCTCTGATGACTTTGTTTTGTTGACTGAACAAATAAACTGCCACCAACACTTGAAGGAAGCATCCTTGAAGTTCTGAGAATGCCATGTGACTATTGTAATCTATAACACAATAATTTCTAACTTCTAACATAATATTAATAAATTCTATTTTTTTAAGCTAATTAATCTGTAACACAATAATTTCTAACTTCTAACATAATATTAATAAATTCTATTTCGTAATATAATTTGTTATAATTTATACAAAACAATAATTTATACTAATATATTTTTTTATAATTTAAATAAAAAAACCAAAAAATAAAAAAATAAAACGCAATGCCGGCCGTAACCAGCCGCGCTGCCGCTGGCCGGCCTAGGTCCGGTCGCATCCATTTTACAGCCGGAAAGGGTCTGGCCGGCTCCCTTTCGCGGCCGAATCAGGCCTGACCAGAAAATTCAAACTGGTCGGACCAGCGACGGCCGCGGTCACCGGCCGGCCAGCCGCAGAGTGGTCGGATCCTCTGGCCCGCTGCCGCAAAAAAAATAAATAAATAAATACGTACTTTTGTGGACGATATTTTTTTGCCGGAATTTGTCGGAACTATTTTTAGAATTTTTCGTAAAGTGAAACAAGAGAGAGAGAGAGAGTGTGTGTTTAATTGAAAAAATGATTTTTATTATATAAAAAGGATATAAATGTATTTTGGGGAGGTGAGTAATAATAGGGGCGGGTATTTAGTAACACTTATTTTTATCACATATCAGTAGATAAGATGATTTATTCTCATCAGTTCCCTCAACACCACTCGTTTGGCATCTTTATCAAAATAAAAAATTGGATCTGACTCACAGCTGACAATTTGAAGACTTCTCTCCTTACCTATAGTACATACTTTCTTCGAAGACATACCCAAGGAATTTGTGGTCAGTTTCGTCCGGTATGGTTCTTGTACGGGATCTCGATCGAACTGTCCTTGCTTCGCCTAAAAATCACTCGAAATTTGTGAAACATGCTTTGCTGCTCTACACTTTCCCTTTGCTTATTGTTGGAGGAGAAAATTCAATGTTAAGAGTTAGATTACTATTGTTTGTTCAGTAAGATGGGATCATATATTTTTTAAAAATGTTGAAGATTGAATAACTAAAAGATATTGAAGGCTATACATGATTCCCGACAAATCTGCTCAATTATTACTACATGCAACTGCCATATTTACTTTCTCAAAATCAATGCCCCTTTTGTGTTTATTTTAATTAGGTTCGTACTTTTACAAATAAGATCCCAATTTCGTATTTTTTAGGGAAAGTTTAATATATATCATACCGTGAGTAAATCTCATATAAATATAAAAGTTCTTTTCTCCTTCTACAATTTTAAATTTAAGACAATTTATTAATGGATAAATGAATGAGAAGTTTAAATTAGAGAATAGTTTTAAATTTGTATGTGATCTCAAAAAAATATACATAATATGTACAAAATCACCTTAAAGTCATTATTGTCTAATATGTTGGTTTAGTCCAATAGATAATTTTTAAAAATAACTTAAGCCCCAGACATCATCCCTTCGCGAGCAAGGATGCAGGAAGCGGCCTGCACATAAAATTGTTTGTGAAAAAGGGCCCCTACTTACCGTACTAGACCAGACCGGGCCTGGTATGCTTGATGTTAGCTATAGGTCTTTTCGTTAAAGTCCTAAAGGCAAAGGTATCCAGTGCCCTTACTGTAAGGCATATAATGTCTCTCTTACTCTCATTTAGAGTTTTAGTGTAAAAAGCCTATCCTGTCCCTATTTCTTTCCTTGGATGTGTATTATTTATTCTTCTGGATTTGTTCGGTCGTATTATATGTATACTTATAAATAAAAAAATGGAGCATTCTACTGTCCGATTTAGCAAGTGAATCAGATGTGGGACTTTTCTCTCGAGAGATGAGGCGAATTGATAGACCAAGGCATAGTTCCAAGGTCCGTTTTGAAGCCGAACCCAAAACAAAGGGAGTTCCAGTGAAGGAAGGTTTGCTGGCCCATCAACTCGTCTAGTCCAATATTAAATTTTAAAAAATAGTCTTAACATATTTGTTTAATATGATATTTTAACTTTTAAAAATAACGTCCACTAGTATGTAGTAAAGTAGCATGAATCATCTTAATTCCATCTACGTCGGCCAGGCCAGGCCAGGCCAGGCTGTTAAGTTTCATGATGAAGAAGTTGACTTGACTTGCCACCTCTTGTCTATAAATATATTTCTTTTTACTTAGTATATGGAAATGAAGAAAAAAGAGTGACTTAATGTTGCCTCCCTCATAATCATTATCACAATTCTAATCACTGCTGTGTACAAGAAGAAGCCAATTATAGCAGCAAATAAGTACAAAATCCTCTCTTTTCAGCAGCATCTCACCATAAATTTGTAAGTGACATAATCCTGTTAGTTTAATACGATTCTGGAATTTAATGTTTTATTTTAATTTTTTAATTTCTATTTCTAATTTCCCTGAGCTTAAATTACTGTGATTGTTTGATAATAGCCTGTTATTTTTCTGTGTAGAAAGGGATAGAGTATGTTGATAGTCACTATTGTTGATGGTGCTCAATTATCTTTTATTGTGTTTCTGAGTTGCTTAAAGCACTTGTATTTTGATTAGTGCCTTCTTTTCCCATCTTTATCAAGTATTCCATTTCCCGTTATTTTTGTCAAAATTATCTTTTATGTGTGTATAAAAAAATGTTTAGAGTGCATATTTTAGCTTCAAGAAGAATCTAAATTCCAACCATTACAATTGTAGATTTATTAGAAAAGCATCGAACGCCCCAGATATGCCTCAGCTTAGTCCTTGATAGTTTCCAACTGTAGACTGTTTATTCAATATGTGATTTTGTGATGCAAAAGTCAGTTTCACTTAGTAAGCTTAGGAAAACAAGGAATAGCAATATCTCTGATACTGTTCCTTTTTTTGTTTTTTCTTTTTATGTGAAGAGGCCTTTTTGGTGATTCTTCCATCAATCCCAGAACCTGAAAAAGAAAAGAAAAAAAAAAGAAAAAATCAATAAGAGAGGAAGAAATGGCGATAGGAGAAGTGTTTCTCTCAGCATTCATTCAGGTTCTATTCCAGCAGCTGGCCTCGGCAGCCACCATGGCCCTGGCCCGCCGAGAAAAAGTCAAGAGCCATTTCAAGAAGCTAAGCCAGAGCCTGTCCAACATCCAGGCAGTCCTAGATGATGCTGAGGAGAAGCAACTCACCGAGAAATCCGTGAAACTGTGGCTGGAGTCCCTCCGCGACTTAGCATACGATCTGGATGACCTTCTGGAAGAGATCACGACCCGGGCCCTGGTCCAGGACTCGCAGGAACAGGCCCAAAACTGCAAACGAAGGAGCAGAGTCTGCAGATTCATCCCCACTTGCTCTAGCTACATGCCAGGCGCCCTTGTCTCCAATTACCGCCTCATGTCCAGAATAAAGGAAACCAATAACCGCCTGCAGGACATTGTGAAACAAAGAGTCGAACTAAAATTGCTGGAGAACGTGGGCGGCTCATGCAGCCGGTCAACCGAGAATAGACAGCCGAGCACATCCCTAGTGAACGAGTCCCACGTGTACGGACTGAATGAGGATAAAGAGAAAGTTATTGACATGTTGCTAGGCAATGAGGTCTGCCACGACGATGTTTCGGTGATCCCGATAGTCGGGATGGGCGGAATTGGCAAAACCACCCTTGCCCAGATTGTGTACAACGACATGACCGTGAAGGATAGTTTCCATGTGCGGGCCTGGGTGAGTGTGACCGAGGAGTTTGACCTGATCTCCATCACAAAAACTATTTACGATTCGGTGACTGGATCAAACAGCGAGTCCCGTGACCTGGACACGCTCCAGGTGAGCCTCAAGGACAAGCTGGCCAAGAGCAGGTTTCTGATCGTGCTAGACGACGTTTGGAACCAGGACTACGGGAGGTGGGATGCCCTGTACCGCCCGTTCCAGTTCGGGCTGCCTGGTAGCAGGATCATAGTTACGACCCGCAACGCCAGTGTGGCCTCCATGGTTGGGTCTCCGCGCACGGCCTACCACATGGAGTTATTGACCGACGAGAACTGCCTGTCCTTGCTGGCGCAGCACGCGCGAACGTCCTTCGATGAGGTTCTCGAGCTGAGGGATGTCGGGCTTGGGCTGGCCAAGAAGTGCAAAGGGCTTCCTTTGGCCGCCAAGACTCTCGGTGGCCTTCTGCGCTCGAAGGAGACCAAGGAAGGCTGGGAGAAGGTGCTGAGTAGCAAAATATGGGATTTGCCCGAGCCGAATAATATCCTCCCCGCCTTGAGGCTGAGCTACCAACACCTCCCATCTCATTTGAAGCATTTGTTCGCCTACTGCTCGATTTTCCCCAAGGATTATGAGTTCGACCGGGATGAGCTCGTGCTCCTATGGATGGGTGAGGGGTTTCTCGAGCAGCCGAACCTGACGGTGCGCAAGGAGGAGCTCGGCCTCGAGTATTTCAACGAGCTGCTGTCGAGGTCTTTCTTCCAGCGGCTAGGGGGCAGCGACTCGCGCTTTGTCATGCACGACCTCATAAACGACCTGGCCCAGTTTGTGGCGGGGGAGAGCTGCTACCGGCTGGACGAGAAGATGGACACTAGTCAGGAGTACCACGTGCCTGAGAAGGCCCGCCACGGCTCCTTCCTGCGCCATGAGTACGAGGTTCTCCAGAAATTCCACACTTTCTATCAGGTCCAGGGCTTGAGGACATTTCTGCCTATGCCTGTTGTTGCTCCCGTCTGGCCCCCATTCTACCTGTCTAACCGTATTCTGGTGGAGTTGGTGCCAAAGCTCAACAGCCTGAGAGTGTTGTCCGTGAGCGGCTATTCTATCACCGAGCTTCCCACCTCCATCTGCAACTTGCTGCATTTACGCTACCTCAACCTGTCCGGGACCTCGATTGTCACGTTGCCCTACACTTTGAGCGCTCTTTTCCATCTGCAGACTTTGTCTTTACGTAACTGCGGCTTTCTATGCAAGCTGCCGTCCACATTGGGGAACCTCTCAAACTTACGGCATCTGGACAACTACAACACCAATCAGCTGAAGGATATGCCGGTCGAGATCGGTAACCTGAGGAATCTCCAGACTCTGCCAAAAATTGTTCTCAGCAAAGAAGGAAGCTGCTTGGGTCTGAAACAACTGCGGGACCTGAGGCATCTGCGCGGATCCCTAGCCATTTTTGAACTTCAGAATGTGATGGATATTGAGGACGTGAAGGAGGCAAACTTTAGATGCAAGAATGATCTCGATGAGTTACAGCTTTTTTGGGGAAGTGAGATCGACAACTCCAACGACAAAATTCCCGAGGAGGATGTGATCGACCATCTTCTACCACACGAGAACCTAAAAAGCCTCAGGATCGACTTCTACAGGGGATCGAACTTCCCGAGCTGGATCGGGGATCCTGCCTTTCGTAAATTGTCGAGCATAAGCATCCTCAACTGCTCGGAGTGCTCATCCCTGCCGCCTCTTGGGCAGCTTCCCGAGCTCAAACACCTGCTGGTCGGTGGTATGCCCAAAATTAAACAGGTGGGGACTGAGTTCTACGGGACGGGCACCATCGTAACCCCATTCCCAAAGCTCGAGAATCTGACATTCGACAATATGCCCGAGTGGCAAAAATGGACCGGCCCCACTGGCAGCTCGTGCGGAAACATTGAGTTCCCTAATGTGCAACGCCTCTCGATTTTCAGTTGCGGGAAGCTGGCTGAAGTCTCTCCGCTGACCTTCCCTACTCTTCGCACTTTGAACGTCAAGGAATGCAGCATGGTCTTGCTGGAAAGGTTCTCTGGCCTGGAGTCCCTGATCTACCTTAAGATTGAGTCCATTTTCGGCCTATCTCATCTGCCGGTTGAGGTCATACGGTCCCTGGTGGCACTCGAGGTCTTAGAGTGCTACAACTGCAACGAGCTGCTTTCCTTGTGGCCCGAAGGTGTCCCGTTTGATCAGAACCTAGCCCGCCTGAGGCGCCTCACCATCGTCTGCTGTAGGCAGCTGGTGTCGTTAGGACAGGGGGACCATCAGCTACCACCGAACCTTGAAGTCCTTCATTTACGTGATACGAACCTGGACGCTCTCCCGAACAAGCTGAGTGAATTGGAGTCCTTACGCGACCTGATTATCAGATATTGCCAGAGGTTCGTGGCCTTCCCTGAAAATGGCATTCCCAGGATGCTCAAGCATCTTGTGATATGGAGTTGCAACTCTTTGGAGTCCCTTCCGGCCAATATATCTGGCCTCGAGCATCTCCAAATCAAGGAGTGCTCGTCACTCAGGACGTGGGCTGTGGCCCATTTCCCAGCCACACTCAAGGCCGTCTGGATCGATAACTGCACGCAGCTTGAGGCCATCTCGGACGGGATGTTTCCCGAGGGCAGTACCATGCTTCTAGAAGATCTGATCTTGTACAAATGGCTGAACTTCAGTAATCTGCTCCAGAGACTGCACGGATTTGCGCACCTGGTCAGGCTGAAGCTCTTGGGCTGCGAGCAACTGAAGCACTTCCCGGAACACGGCCTGCCTTCAGGCCTTCGAGACCTCTGCATCGTGGACTGCCCGAGTCTCGAGTCGTTGCCAGCCAAAATCCGCACCATGACATCGCTCGTGTCCCTTGTGCTGAGGAGATGTCCGAGGCTCGATAATTTTCCAAGGTTTGATCTGCCCCCGAACCTAACCTCGCTCGAGATAGGGGATCCTAAGAAATTCAAGCCCCTCTCGCAGTGGGGCCTACACAGGCTAGCTTCCCTCCAAGAGTTGGACATCTGCAGTGGATTGGAGGAGCTCGAGCAACTCGGGGAGGACGACTGTCTCTTTCCTCCTTCTCTAATAAAATTCTCGATTAGTAGTTTCCCCAAGCTCACTTCGCTTGGTAAGGTGCTTGAAAATCTCACATTGTTGAGGCACCTATCGATTATGAACTGCCAGAATCTAAACGTCTTGCCTAGCGAAGCCCTGCTCGAGAAGCTGTGGCACCTGGAGATAAGCGATTGTCCGCTTCTCAGGCAACGATGTGCAAAGGACAAGGGAGACCATTGGCCAAAGATAGCAGGGATTCCTCGTGTGGAGATTGATGGATAGGGTTCGGTTTGAGAAGGAACGAAACTTGGTACACTTTCCTTACCTGCTGTTTGAGTCTTGAAATAGTTCTCGTGAAAAATCTTCCTTTGCCATGTGATTCTTTTAATGTGCTGGAGTAATGGTTGGAATTATGTCCCAAGAAAAAAATTGCTAAATTCTAGTAAGTGAATATAAAGCAGCCAAAAATGATTTTTTTGCTGCCGGTCCGTTTTCCCTCCAGTCTTGGAGCCTACCGGTCCGCTGGAGCTTTGGTCTCGCACCTTCAGTTCTGCATCCATGGGTGGGTGCTCGGCTGCCGGTAGCCTGGGGCGTTCTCTCCTTGGGTCTCGTCTTTGATCCCTTCGATGTTTCGTGGCGACTCCTTTCCTCCAGTATTCAAGTCCTTCAAAGCTCAGATTTGGACCGAGACTTCACTCCTTGTCAGATCTGTCGAGGTGATTCGATTTCGGGCATAATTTTTGGGTCTGAGGTCTAAGTTTGTTGCTTGGTTGGTTCTAGTGCTGTGGAGTGTGTTTCGGTTGTAGGTTTGAGAATTTGTTCAGTTGCCCAATAGGTTTTGGGAGGTTTTATCTTTTTTTTTAGTTGTGCATTGTTTATTGTCTTTATTTTGTTGATTTGTTTTGTTTAGTTCAACGGTTCTGGTTAGTCTTCTATATGGAGTTAGCATCTCATTTTATGGAGTTTTATTTTGTGATTGTTCGTCCTTGATGGAGTTTGTACCCTGTGATTACAAGAGGGGGTGGTCCAGACTTTGTTTTGGTCCCAGTGTGGCACTTGACACTCGGTTGTATTGTTTGATGTACTCTTTGAGTTTTTAAGTTAGTTTTTAAGTTATTAATATAATTGTTGTTTGAAAAAAAAAATGTATAAAGCAATCAAAAATGATTTTTTTAGAAAAGATATAAATTATGGTAGGAACTTGAGAAAAAATTGTTCAACAATTCTAATAATTTTAAAAAATATTCATTAATTAATAAAAATCATGCTGAATATGCATAAAATGCAAAAAAATATGCAAAAATTAACTTAACCAAAATTTTAGCGGTTTATTTATCTACACTATCTATATCTATACTATTTTAAAATGAGGAATGATTTGGTAAGAAATTGCACGGACTAAAATGTCTTTATGTTTATATTCTTTTTAATGACAAAACTGTAATAACTATTAAGTATCTCAATGAGTTATAATCACAATTAAATACCTCAATAAAATAGGGTTCTAACAAAAACAAAACTCTTTCAAAAATAAAACCTAACAAAATAGATTTAAATAAGTAAACAAAATATTAACTTATCAATAAAGGAAAAATTAATAAATGAGATGCAAACCATTTCAATAAGATTGAGTTGCATTAAAATATTGTTGTAGTATGGAATTTAACAACGATAATGAACTATAAAACGATATAATTAAAGCGTAAAAAGATGTAGACTTTGTAATATTTCTATGTTTTTGCTGTGTACAAGAAGTCGGTATTATGAAAAACCGAGCTGTGTTTGTATATGCGTATATAACATGTGTAAAAAATATCTCCGTACAATAATAAATTCTGCTATTTATAGTACAGTGCCTTTGACTTCCGATACGAGGTTGATAGGATCGCATTTAATGTTGAGCTGCTTTATTGAAGCGGTCTGCTGGTTAATGGGGAACATCAATGATTACATCTGTAATATGTGGTCCAATCAGATGCTTTATCACCTGCTTTGGGCTTCGTTTACCTCGGTACTCGGTTAATGTAGATAATCTTCAGGGGAGACCCTTCGAGAAGTCGGTTTTTTGTCGGTTCACCGCCATAAGTGAGGTCGGTTTATGCTTTTGAATGAGGTCGGTTCTTCATCTTCTTAGTACCGAGGTGAACTAAGTTTGGCGTGTGGAATGATCTGAGAGATAAGCTGCAGAAAATTCTAAAAAGCCTTCCTCTTAATTTTGGCAAATCAGGTCGGTTGTCAACAGAGAGGCCCCAATATTAGCAGGTATTTTAATAAACCTTACTCTTAATTATGACTTTCTAGAGTTCATCCGTACAGAATGTGTAACAGATCTCATTGTTCTCTTCCATTTCTTATTTATCATTTCTTTTTATATGTTAACTACTCTTTTCTATATTGGTAATTGCAATGGTGTTGCTGTCTATGCTAATATTCGACTTTTCCTTCTTTTGTCTTCAAAATTTTCAGGGATCAACTGATGTAGAATTGCCATTTTCTGTATGGGCCTTTTCGAGCTTTATTCTTTTCAGTATTACTAGTAAAGTGCACGTGCGATGCACGTGGTGGTGAATGTTTTTGCCAATTAAGTTTAGTAAAATAAATTAATTAATTTATTAAAAATATCATTGCAAGAATGAAATAAAACATAGAACAAATGAGCGCATAATGTAATTGTTTTTTGCCGATTAGGTTTTGTAAAATAAATAAATTATTTATTAAATATATCATTGCAAGAATGGAATAAAATGTAGAACAAATTATTTTTTCCAAAATAACTTAACGATATCCTAACATAAAATGAATTAAATAACATATTACAACCCCAACAAAAACACACAAAAACACTAAATAACTAAATAATGACTAACATATATTATACATGCATTAGTTCTTTTATTTGTTTATGCTAGATGATTCAATAGAGATCTCTTTCATTTTGGGGGCTGATTCAATAGTATTGCAAAATTCATCTTAATTTATTTGACAAAACGTCTACATTATTCAAACACTTAAAGAATATTCTAGCCAAACATAGATTGAAACTTCATGGTTGTATTATCTTTATATTTCTACCAACAATGCTTGAATATCTCTGCAAAATAACCAATCATGTCATTAAAATTATTGTTTATTTTTTATCATTGTATAAGCTACTATATTACTCTATCTCTATATATAGACAAATTGATAATTACCCCATGGATGTATAGCCCTACGGAGGGGAATGAATTTTATCTCTAAATGAAAGTTGACTTTTCAAAATCTCTATTATATGTACTTTTTCTGAGATTATTTTTTCAAATATTACATATTACCTAAAAGTACATGCTCTAAAATAATTGCACATATGTACAAGGACAATACACCAATGAAATTATAAATATTCCTATAAGAAGTGTCAACTTCATTCAAACATTCAAAAATGTTTTGATCAGGCTCCAACGTTTCATTTTCATTGTCATATATTTAGAAGATAGACGAACTATTTAATCTATTGTTTTCAAATCATTGATCATCTAGTTCTTGCAATGATTTTGGTATTATTTTTCTTAATGTCTTTCACTTCGTTTGGATTTGTAACATTTATGTGTCCAATAACGTTTTTAATGCTTTTATCGTCTAACTTTATGCATCATACATAGTGCTCAGAAAACTCAAAATAAAGATCATTTTTTGATACTTCACCAATGACAAAACCAAACAAAACAAAACAATGAGACAACATTGAGAAACATATCATTTGTTACAATAGTTGAGATGAGAAAATTGGAATTCTATTTTATGACTCTTACTCATCTTTGAACTTTATTATTACGAAATCATTATTAAAATCTACATTATGTATTATAAGGTTTTAATTTTTTAATTATTTAAAATTAAAAATTGATAATATAGGATTATTATTTATGAGATCCAATTTCTTACAGAGTCCATATATTTAAACGCTAGCAACAAAAAAAGTATTATTTTTAAAATACTTTTTTTTCTAAATATTGGTATTCATACTTGTCTAAGAAAATTCAGACGTTTTCTTTTTTCAATTGCATTACTATTATTTTATTAGTTTTGTATTCTATTGATAAATAATACTTTATTTATTAAAAGAATTATAGCATATTTATATGTATTGCATCATTTTTTGTACGTGTTTCATATAATGACGTTGCTATCAAAATATCTTATTTATTAGGCAACACCTAATATAATCACATAAGATAAAATAAAATTTAATATTACTTACTTATTTATTTATTTATAATAATATATTGATAAAAAATGTACTTTTATAGTGATTATTAGATTAAAAGGTTTAGAATTTTTTCCCAATGCTTGAGAAAATATTAAGAAACTAACTCATTTTCATACTCATTGAATTTATGTGTTAGATGAATAATAATTTAACACACAACTCGTTTATTTCTCCTTTTTATTCACATGGTTAATATTGGTGATAGTTGTATGTTTAAAATCCATTGTTTGTTTTTTCTTAGTATGAATTTTTGGATCTATGTAAGAAAAATATCCCACGAGTTTATATTATGTTATTTAATACTTAATGAATTTATTTAACATGGATGTATAATTTATTTTATAAGATACTTTTAGGTCTAATTATTATTTTAAATTCGTTGATAATTGATATATATAATTAGAAAGAAATGATATGATATATTACATATAAAAGAGTAACAAATGAAAAAATAATAAATATTTTAAAATTGAAAAATTAATGGTAGAAAGTAATTAAATTTTTAATTAATTAAAAATTTAAAACTAACATAGTGAATTTTAATGCAAAAAGATAATATTTTTTATGAACTTAAAAGTTCAAGTTAAAATAAATGTGCATATTATGTATGTCTGATATTTCTCATTGCCTAGCTCCAATTGATATAGGACATTAATTAATAATTTTATCACTTTTTTACTTTTAGATTTAATGCGAGCTATAAGTTTTCTCATCATTCTTACCTCTTGTTTAGCTATTATAATACTAATAAAATAATTAGGACTTTTTGACCTAGATGTATCTTGTTTGTTTTGAAATAAGTTTACTAATTACCATAATTAAATGATAATTAGATTGAATATGTTATATTTTCTATCATTATCAATAATTTTCATAATAATTAGTTGCGCACAATATTATATATAATGCAATTTTTTCTTATTGATTTGAAGCCCTACCTTTACTATAAAAAATGAGAAAATTCCAACGAAAATTTCAAAAAATATATTACTAAGGAATTTATCGAAAATTCTAATGAATATTTCAATGTTATTACTCCCGTTTGAATTTTCCAATATAATTCTAGAATCGAAATCTCGCAATATTTTTTTGACATATGTAAAAGTGATGAAAACGAAAGAATCTCTTTTACATCTACACCCAGTTTATCCATTTTTTTGGAAATGATAAAAAAAAGGATATCGGGCAAAAAAGCTTCACCCTACAACCCTTGGCGGTATCATCTAAAAAGGAAAGGTTTCACCGACGATTTGCTATATCGAATTAAAGGCCTAGACGAAAAATCTAGACCTTTGAATATGCTCGAAACAAGGACTCGGTTATGTAAAAACCCTTATACAAAAGAATACCTTGCAAAAAAATATGATCCTTTCCTGAGTGGATCATCTCGGAAAACAATCGACAAATCAAAAAATGAACAAAATAGCATATTTAAGAAAACATTTTCTGCCAAAATCCAAAAAAAACTTCTGGTAGACAAATCCGCAGAAAATTTTGGAACGAATCGAATTTATCGTATCCTTCTTGGAAAATATCTAAAAAAAGTTGCAACTGATGTTATTGATCAAAAAAATCTCATCAAATCTACTAGAATTAGAATAAAAGAACTCAGGAAAAAAGTCTTTTGGTGGTTATACAGATTATTTGACGACTTAGAACTTGCAATACCGGGCGAGACCGATGACGAGAAGAAGCGCGAAACTTCTGATATTCGTACAAGAAAAGCTGTGTGTGACGTAGAATTTGATACGCGCGACAGTGCTAAGGCTTCTGGTTCTACCAATAATCAAGAGCCAGAGGAACTATATTTTCTACGCTATATAAGGCGACACGACTGGGAGCAAGATATAATCAAAGGTTCTCTGCGAACTCTCAGACGTAAAGTGGCAACTTTAACACTATATTACAAAGACCCAAATACCCCTCTTTTTTTTCCCTACAACTCAAGAAGTTTGTTTTCTGTGGTTNAGACTGGAAGTTTAAAACATGACATGGAAAAGATTGGGAGAGCCTGAAGAACTGATTTCATTAGCACTTCTTTTCCTGCAACTGAAAGGAGCTTGGACTTCCAATTTTGCAACTTGTTTCTGATGGCTGTGATGATATATTCAAAGACTTCTTTTTTTGTCCTTCCTATTCCCAATGGCAAGCCTAAGTACCTGGTTGATCTATGAGAGACAATGCCTTGAAGTTCCCTGCAGATGGAGTCTCTGAGCTGCTGTGGAGTATTTCTGCTGAAGAAGATGGCAGATTTATCAAGATTTACCCTTTGCCCAGTAAATAGTCTATATTTTTCCAGAATAAGCATAAGCTGCTGAGCTTGATCCACTCCAGCCTTCAGAAAGAACAGAGAGTCATCTGCAAAAAGCAAGTGAGAGAGGGCTGGTCCATTCTTGGAAAGTTTAAGACCTTGTAGGAGGTTCTGATCTTGTGCATTGTTCACCAAAGCTGTGAGCAGCTCAGCCACAATTATGAAGAGATAGGGGGATAAAGGATCCCCCTGTCTGATACCTCGAGTAGGAGAAATGAAGCCACTGATTGAACCATTCACTTTGAAAGAAATAGTAGAAGAGGTTATGCAAATCATGATAAGCCTGACAAAAGTTGGACTAAACCCCACTTTCAGCATAATTCTGTGCAAACAATTCCACTCTACTCGGTCGAAGGCTTTCATGAGATCTAGTTTTAAAGCCATAAAGTAATTCTTGCAAGTAGTATGCCTGTTTAGGAAGTGAAAAGCCTCCTGAGCTATGATGACATTATCAGTAAGCTGCCTTCCCTTGATAAATGCAGATTGTTGAATGCTAATGCAGCTATCTAAGCATGCCATCAATCTCTGAGCAAGAACTTTTGAAAGAGTTTTATATATGACACAACACAGGCTAATTGGTCTGAAATTACCCAAGGAGTCAGGATTTGGTACCTTTGGAATTAATGAGAGGATTGTGTGGTTCCAGTACCTCAGAAGGAGCCCAGAATGAAAGAAACTTTTGAAAGCTTCCATAACATCAGATTTGATTAAGGTCCAGAAATGCTGGTAGAAAAGAGCACTCATGCCATCTTCACCTGGTGACTTATCAGGACTGAGAGAGAAAAGAGCTGCTTTGACTTCCTCTTCTATGATAGGTTTAAACAGGGATTGGTTCATTTCAGGAGATATGGTCTGAGGGATGAGGTGGAGAATAGATTCTCCATCCCAATTGCTTTCTGATGTAAAGAGTGTTGAGTAGAAGTCAGAAATGTGAAGTTCAATGTCTCTTTGGGAGGTGAGTTCAATGCCTCTGGGAGTGATGAGTCTGGATATTGCATTTAATTTCCTCTTCTGCTGTGTGTAGGCATGGAAAAACTTTGTATTACCATCTCCTTCCTTCAACCACCTTAGTCTGGATTTCTGTTGCCAGTGAAGCTCTTCAAAAGAGTGAGCTTTATTAAGGGCTGCCCTTGTCTGATCCCATTCCTTCCTAATCATCTGGCTTGTGATCTCGCAGTTGTTCTAACTTGTGAGTAAGAGCATCAATGTCCAGTTGGTTCTTGGTTCTGAATTTAGAGCTCCATATAAGAAGAGCTATTCTGGTAAGCTTCACCTTTTCCTTAAGCTGATAGAAAGGGGTTCCTTCTGTCTGAGTTGACCAAGCTGTTTCCACTGTTTGTTTCAACCCCTCCATTCCTAGCCACCTTTTATCAAAGTGAAACCGAGGCTGTCTTTTGATTTGAGGCTGTCCCAAATTCAGCAACAGAAGAGAATGATCAGATGAGCTTTTCACTTTGTTTGTAACCGCTGCATTTGGATAGGAGTAAGCCCAAGTCAGTGAGGCAAAGGCCCTGTCAAGCTTCTCCTCAACTCTTCCTTCACCTGATCTGAGATTACACCAAGTGAATTGGTACCCCAGCATTTTAACTTCCTCCATTTCCATATTGTTTATAAAATTATTGAAACCCATGAGGCTACTGGCAGTTCTAGGAATCCCTCCAATTTTGTCCTCTGCCGCACTTATGTCATTCCAATCCCCAATAGCAAACCAACTCTGGCCCCAATTAGCTTTGTCCTGTTCTAATTCAGCCCATTGCTCAAACCGAGTATGCTTGCAGGTACTCATATATACAAAAATTTCCCACTGAGGATCAGGGGATTCAAAAGTAAAATTGACAGCAATGTAGAAAGATTTTTTTTGGATTTGGATAATATTTACAGATGTGTCCCAGAACAAAAGAAGACCTCCACTAAGGCCCTGAGGATCAACTGTTGCTAGTCTATCCTCAGCTCCCAATTTCCTTACAACAGATTTCACAAAAGCACAAGATTTTTTAGTTTCAGAAATAAAGAAGAAACCTGGGTGATGAGTCCTTATTGACTCTCTGATTTGGGAAATTGTAGAGGGCCCACCCAGCCCTCTACAATTCCACACCGCAACTAACATGGAGACTTTGGGTGCCACTCCAGGCTGGCATCCTCCACCTGTTCCACCACAACTTTGAGCTTTTTCCCAGAGGCTGAGGTATGAGCATGAGTTGCTGTCAACTCCAAGTTGTTGGATATCTCTTGTCTTTGTCTTTTGGTACTCTGAGTTTCAACCACCATTAACTCTTGATTATCATCCCTCTGGAGTCTTCCCTCTCTGCTAAGAGCTCTTTTTCAGGTTTTTTGTTTGGCACTTGTGGGGTTTGCCAGAGTTGTAGGTTGGTTCTTAACAATGATGGGCAGTGCTGGAGTTAGGGTTGCCACTTCAACTTCCATCATCTTTCCTTCTGGCTTATTAGATTTGGATGAAGTTGCCACTTCCACTGAAAGTTTTTTCTTGACTGGCAATGGATTGGGAATTGAATTTGGTGTGAGAGGGGTTGGATTGTCTGGGATGGAACTTGAAGCAACCATATCAGGAGAGGTGTTTCCTGAGTGGTGACCCTGGAACTGGACAATTTGATTATCCCTATCATTTTGAGTAGGTTGAGAATCTGTTGCTCTGTTATTATTGGAATGTGGTTGAGACCTGGACCCTGAGTTACTGATTTCTATCCAAGACTGTCCATCCACCGCTTTCATCCACTCTCCAAACTGTCCTTCTTTCAGAGTCTTGGATTTAATATCTGCCATTCTCTTGCTGCAGCCCCTATCAAGGTGTCCAATAAAACCACAGTAATGACATAGGTTGATGAGCTTTTCATATCTGAAACCTACTGTGACAATTTCATCATCCAGTCTAATGCTTGTGCATCTGGGCAGAGACTCATTCAAGTCAAGAGATACCAACAATCTGATGATTCTCCCTCCATGATTACCAGAGCTAACCATAACTACATTGTGGACTTCTTTGAATACATTCCCTATTTTCAGTCCTACCTCTGTGCTCAGCCAATCTAAGGGTAAGTTGAAGACTTGCACCCAAATTTTGATTTCCTGGAAGGCCGGATGCTTACTTGACAGACCTCTTTCCCATTCTTTCAGAATTAGATATTGATTTTCAAAGCTCCAACTGATGCCATTGGCCACTTTTTTCATGTCCTCTTTACTTTGGAAAATGAATTGAAAGAAGTTATGGCCGAGCTCCTTAACCTCCATTTGTTGCTGAAGTTTCCAGATATGGCTCATAGTTCTCTTGATTCCAATCCAGCTAGCTTTCCGATCTCCGATCACCTTGCCAAAGAGACTGCGGTGACACTCATCGGCACTTACTTTGATATCAGCTCCCGCAATGTCAATCACAGAGCTTTCCTTGTCGGATAGCGAGAAGTTCTTGAGAAGATGGGATAAGTTTTCATCTTGCCCCACACAATTTGTGTCCGCCATAGACAGTTCACTCCGCAAATGAGTCCAATAAAAAGATGGAGAAACACTATAGAAAGGAACACGAACAACAATCAACAATGCAATCAACTAGCAATGAATTACAAAGAACGCTCCCAATTTGGAGAATCGCCGGAACCCTAGCTCCCAATTTGGAGAATGTGAACAAATCCGTGAAGTCCTCTTGATTCGCAATTTTCATAATAATTAGTTGCGCACAATATTATATATAATGCAATTTTTTCTTATTGATTTGAAGCCCTACCTTTACTATAAAAAATGAGAAAATTCCAACGAAAATTTCAAAAAATATATTACAAAGGAATTTATCGAAAATTCTAATGAATATTTCAATGTTATTACTCCCGTTTGAATTTTCCAATATAATTCTAGAACCGAAATCTCGTAATATTTTTTTGACATATGTAAAAGTGATGAAAACGAAAGAATCTCTTTTACATCTACACCCAGTTTAACCATTTTTTTGGAAATGATAAAAAAAAAGGATATTGGGCAAAAAAGCTTCACCCTAGCTACAACCCTTGGCGGTATCATCTAAAAAGGAAATTGTGGAACATTTTTTCATAATTTTTATCATGTCCCCTATATTAAAAATGAAATTAAAAGAAAGAAAGTTACATAATGACTTAGTTTACAAACTCAACCAATTATAATTTAATTCAACTCATAACTTTATTAATGTTATAACATAAACGCGGCATCACAACTAAATAAAATATAATAAATCTCAAAATTACGACCCAACAATTGAGACCAGTTTATTCATTTATATACTGAGATTATCTATACCTGTTATTATCATGAATAATTGTATCACTACGATATAATACTGTAATGATTTGCTAGTTCACGCCAAGTTTTCAAATTTTTTATCTAATATATGATACAGACTTTTCTATTCCTATTTTAAAAGGCCTTTTTGAATTCAATAAAATGTAAATGAACCATATTGATAATAGTTTCAAATCTCTCTTTTGCAACATATTTTTTCTATATCTTCAAAATATATTTCTTACGTCTTTTTTAACTAATGCAAGGGGAATTATAGTTTTATATTCATAATTTATAAATTCATCAATTGTATTGCCGAGTCAGCTATACTACAACATAGATATTTTGTTTATAATTTTTTTGAAAAAAAATATTTTTTATTTTTTTTAATAATTTTTTTATGTTGAATTGAGAAAAAACGTCACTTTTTTTTATTAAATATTTTTTAACTTATTGTGACTGTACTGATGTGTTAGAATATATTACAAGTGAGAAACATGAAAAATTATGTAAAGCATAATTTATATAATGTAATGGCATTATGTTATTTTTATGGTATACTTTTTCTATTAATCATATAGTGCCCCAATAAAAAAATATTTTGCATCCGCCACTGCAATTAGTTTTTCGTTGGAACTTCTATTAATTTTTTTACAATTTCAATGACAGTTTTTTCAATGGTCGAAATATGATCCAAATTCAACAATAATTCAAAAAAAATTCAATTATAGTAATTGGAATCATTTAATTCACAAAATTTTCAATGTAATTTAATTTGATCTCTGTTGGAATAGTTAATGAAATTTTCCAATAAAAGCTATACCAATGAAATATTCGTTGGAATTTTCATTGAAATATCTTATTGATGCATTTCCCATTGCAATATAACAACTTTTTTTGTATTCTTCTTAAACATTATATTTTAGATAGTAGTTATTGAGTAATTGTGTTTACAATGTTTCTTCTTAAACTTTTTAATTCATATAATTTTTTAAAGTAACTCATTATTTTATCTCAAGATTACCTATTATATTCCCAATTGAGTTACATTTATTACATATTAAATGTTAAATAATTAAAATAATTATTATTTATATATTTAATATTATATATATATATATATTATATGTAAAAAAGCTAATAGCAAATAAAAAGTAATTTAAAATTAGAATAATCAAGTGTTTTTTTTTCTAACCTACATGGATAAAGGTAAAAATAACTATTGTATATCACCTAAAACTTACACATAGAATTAATAAGTACAAAAATTAACAAGAATTTAACAACCTTGCTCATTTATATCGATAAATATAAGTTTTAAAAGGTTTATGTTTACTTTTATTAATCATGACATATTTACTTATTATTTTTAATGTTTATTAGTACGTGTTACAACTTAGTAATTATTAATATCATTTGTCAGATTTAATATTTTTATATTTTGTATTGTTCTTTCATATGTTTTTAATTTTTGTATTTGCTTAAAAATTCATAATATTATGTATAGAACTTTTTCGGTCATATGTATTAATATATCAATTATTTGTATATCTTAATATTATATTATATAAAATTACAGTTTTCTGTTTAATATTATAATCAATTATTCATAACTTATAAATTCATCAACATTATTGTCGAGTCAACTATACTACAACATAGATTTTTTGTTCATAAGATTTTTAAAGAATATATGATTTTGGTCATATGTGTTAATATATCATCTATTTGTATATCTTAATATTATATAATATACAATTACATTTTTCTCATTAATATTATAATTAATTAGTCATAATTTATAAATTAATCAATAATATTGTTGAGTCATCTATACTGCAACATAGATTTTTTGTTCATCAGATTTTAAAAGATATATTATTTTCATGATTTGCTTATTTTTAGTTGAGAAAAATTATGTGTTTCTTATAAATACTTTTAACTTATTGTAATTGTATAGATTTGCTAAATATGTATTACAGATGAGAAAGATGACAAATTATAAAAAGAATAATTTATATATTGTAATGACATTATGTTATTTTGAACGTATAACTTTTCTATTAGGTAAATAGTGCCCCCAGTTTGAAATTGTCTGTATCTACCACTGCAATTAGCTTTCCAATGCAACTTTCATTGATTTTTTTACAATTCCAATGAAAAATTTTCCAACGGTAGGAATATGTTTCGAAAAAATAAATTAAACGAATTCACACAACAATAAATAATGATAATTGGAATCATTTAATCCACTAAGATTCCATTATAATTTAATTTGATCTATGTTGGAATAGCCAGTGATATTTTCCAATGAAAGCTATACAAAATGAAATATACTTTGGAATTTTTAGTGGAACACCTTATCGTTGGATTTTCAATGCAATATAGCATTTTATTTTTTGCATTTCCTTTTAAACATTAAAATTTTTATGTTGTAGTGTTTTTATTAAGTAATTGCGTTTACAATTTTTTTTATTAAGAATATATTAAAAACATTAACTTTTTAGTCCATATAACTTTTTAGAAATCACTCGTTATTTTAACTCAAGATTACCTATCAATTTCTCAATTGAATTACAACCTTTTACGACAAATTCATTCCCCTTTCGTCTCCCTAACCCTAGCCGATCGACATCCATAAATTGCGCCGGTAGAAATCTCCCTTGCCGGACGTCTGGGTCCATCGGTGGACGGCCTTCGGTCACTCGTCCATGGCGGGGCATCTCTCTCCTCTATTGTTGATCCTCTCTGTGCTTTGAATTTTGACCAATGGTGAAGGTTCTCCTTCCTTGTTGGTCGCCGGAGTACAGGTTCGGTCGGCAATGGTTGGGGTGTGGTGCTGGTTCATGGACGAGGTTGGGATAGCTGCAATCGGATTTGGCCGGGCCGCTGGGTCGCTGATTCTCCTCTGTTCGCCTTCTCGTCACCGGTCTGGACTGCGCCTTTTCGCCGGCGAAGCGGCGATTGGCTGTGGCCGCCCTTTGTTTCGACAGTCGTATGTCAATTGGAGGTACGCCCACGATTTTGCTGCTTTTGTCTCGGTTTTCTATTGTGTCTGTGATTGGCGGGACCTCTTGGTTCCTTCTCTGCGAGTGGCATACGGGAGTTCTCGGTTGGTGGTCGTAGTTCTGCTGGGATTGCTTTTTTCGGTTAGAGCTAGGTTGCTTGGTCGGGTTTCAGTTGCTTCGGGATGGGCTGAGTCGTGTTTGCCTCTTCTCGTGATTGAAGTGCGGGACTGCTCTTCAGTTGGTCCTGGGGTGCGGGTTGCCGTCTTGCTAGGCCTTCTGCAGTGGTGGACAGTTATTTCTGTGCTTTAGAGCTATCAGT